GGACAAAGAGTTTGGTGGTGAAGATGGACGACAAGGCTAATCGTCGTTTCTGGGAGAGTTATTTCTTTGTACAGACTGAGCACCTTGTGGCAGAGCCAGCAGGGCTTCCCGAGAAGTGGAACTTTGCCCATAAATTTTTCTTTGTCTAGTTTGTGACTCCTCTCGAGGCGGTGGCCGACCGTTTCTCTCTAGGTGGCATTGCTAATTTGTATTCTGCGTTCGCAGCTGATAGATTGCCTCCCCCGCCCGTTGATGACATCCGTGAGCGGGTCAATGCTATTTTCCCTATATGGCGGGGGTCAGTGAGTGGGCGTCCTTCTTTGAGAGATATGGGCGTAAGCCTCTCACTGGTAAGTCGACTCGTTACTGTTTCCTTATTATTTGCCTTGTAATTTGATCTTGTTGTTTACATGATAATTTTTCTCCGTCATCAGGGAGAGTGCGAATGGCGAGGGCTCCTCCACTCGCTTTCCGTCAATCGGCGCCTTCTGTTTGGCCAGCACCGAGGTCTGCTGCCCGGCCTTCATCAAGAGCTACTCAATCTGTATCTATGGCTAAGGCCGTGTGCATGCAAATTATTCCTCAACCCGAGACTTCGGCTTCTGTTGTCCGCTCATGGGTGAATCTTCCCGCGCTAATAGCGGAGAGGATCTGTCGAAGAGACGGCGAGTGGAGTCCGAAGTGGCTCCTCTAGCCAAAGCATCTTCGGGGGGCGACCTTCCTTTGGTGGTGTCTGAAATTGGTGGAGATGCTAACTTGGCCGCAGAGGTAAACCAGGTGGTAGAGGCCGACCCGATGGCAGAGGCTTCGACCATTGTGAACGATCAATCGGGAAAGGGTTTCAAAATCGAGCTTCTTCTTCAGCCGCAGAGAGGGGAAAGGGTGTCGTGGTCGATGACTACGAGTCTGACTCCGACCTTGATCCTGATGATGTCAGGATGTTCGAGGAGGGCTTTACCCGTACTGTGGTAAGAGCGAGAGGTCCTTCCCGTATACTTGAGATTCCATCAGAGCTTAATCTCCTGCGGGACACGGAGGGTTTAGGGCCACAATTTGACCTTCTATGCTCCGCCGCAGAGTGTGAGACACTCTGAGACGTCAGTGACGTTGAATTAATGCGTGAAGTGGTTGTTATGGGCCTGAGGGTAAGTTTCTCCTCTTTGTTCTTTTTTGTGTTCCTTTTGTTTTTGGCAGCCTTGGTTTCTACCGACCCCCCCCCCCCATTTTTTTTTGCTTTCAGTCCTATATGCTGGAGATCGAAAGTGTTTGCAGGGCCGACACTCGGGCCAAGATTTTTCTGATGATGCTGGAAAAGTATCGGCGCTACCGCAACAAATTCCGTGAGATGCATGAGTGGCTCAGGGCTAGTGCTGGAAACCAATCTCTTGGGGAAGAGCTGGAGAAAAGGGATCAAGAGCTAATGCAGTCCATTCGTAGGAATAGTGAGCTCAAGGAGCTACTTCGTGCAAATGACAAATAACTTGAGTTGGGAAAGGGGGTCGTTGCTGAGTGTGAGCATCTTCAGGCGAAGGTGTTGTCGTTGTAGTCCGAGCTAGATCAAAATGTCTTCAGGGTTGAGGCCTTGAGTGCAGAATGGATGAGGAAGTTAGTCGAGCCGGAGAGGAAACTATCTGAGTTAGAGAGCGCCGAGAGTGCTCGGGATTCAGCCTCAGCGAGGGTAGTGGCATCGGAGGAGGACACTATCTGTGTCCTTCAATCCGAGCAGGAATACGAGAGGGCAACAGCCACGCTAAGGGAGGAAAGGCTTGAAGAGTTGGCAAAATTGATTGGGAAGCTTCAAACTTGGGAGATCGGGTCGTTGTACTTGAGGCTGAAAAGGCGCAATTGTTGTCCCAAGTTGAATCTGCCTCTGCCGCTATTTCTCCCCATTTGCACGAGCTTTGGGTTCATGTCGAAGCTCAACGGGACATATATAAGATTTGTGGGAGGCGGATAATGTTTCTGAGCCCGGACAAAGGCACGAGAGGCTCGTGTCAATTGCGGCTACGACCCTGCGACACCGGAGGCTGGAGAGGATGCTGATGCTGAGGAGCAATTTCTTGGATATGATGATGGGGAGAACGGCGTTGATGACATCGAGTGAAAAGTTTTTGCCTTAGTATATGTTGTTTTTTTCCTCTTTCTCTTTTTTTTTATTGTATTGGGCCTGTTTTGGCCGTGTGTAAGGTGCGGCCGTTGCGCACGTATATAAATAAAAGGGTTGTTTCGCCGTTGTACATCCTTTGAATTTCTCTCCCTTCCCCTTGCTTTTCATTTTTTGTTTTGGTGTAGACCTTCGGATTTTGGTATGGCGGATCCCTGATTTCTCATTTTGGGAATCCGATTTTAACCAGACTGATTTGGGTCTCGTCGTGTGAGTCCGAATGGAGTTTCTTCGAGTTTGCATATTCAGGCGGGATTGACTTTTGATTTGTTGCTTTAGGCGGAATCATCTCTGATTCAAACGAGGTTAAACTCGGATCCATCGTTCCAGACGAAGTCAGTTTCGACTTGAATCATTCGAGGGGGATTAAACTCAGTTGTTGATTTAGGCGAAGTCGACCTTTTCATATGTATTCGAGCGAGGTTGACCTTGGTACTTGGAGTGAAATCAATTTCTGACTTATTTGGACAAGTTTGAGAAACACAAAAAAAGTTTGTTTGACAATGGCCGATGGCCGCAAAGGCGTTATGTCGAGTAAGACCGACATGTTAATCCGTGTAATTCGAGCGAGGTCGAGCTCTTCTTTTGGCGATAGCCTTTGGATGTGGGGGTGTTATTTCGAGCTAAGGTCGAAATATTAACCCGTTGTGATTCGAGCAAGGTCGAATTCTTCTTTTGGTGATAGCCCTTGACCCTAGGGGTGTTATCTCGATCTAAGGTCGAAATATTAACTCGTTGTTATTCGAGCGAGGTCGAATTCTTCTTTTGGCAATGGCCCTTGTCCGTCGGGGTGTTATTTCGAGCTATGGTCGAAATATTAACCCGTTGTGATTCGAGCGAGGTCGAATTCTTCTTTTGGCGATGGCCCTTGGCTGTAGGGGTATTATTTCAAGCTAAGGTTGAAATATTAACCCATTGTGATTCAAGTGAGAT